TGCTGATGTTCTATGATATGCCATGAAATATGGTGCCTTGAAAAACTATGGCTCCCTTCCTTCACCTGGTTCTTCACTCATCGGCCCAGGTGGCTTCTCCCTCCCACCTCGCTATGTTCATTGGATCACTACTTGAATTTAAATCTTCAGTAGATAACACAAATTTGTTAGAAAGGGCTCTGGATAAATGAACACATGACAGCCACCTTATTGTTCCTCAGAATCATCTCTCAAGTCACCCAAACCCAGATGTGCAGAATTCCTCCCTTTTTGCTCTCCCCTCTCACCCAAAGAACTAGAAAGTAGGAGGATGTACAGACTGTGCTCTGAGACAGAACTCTGTTCAGTCTATCAGCACATTATTCCCTCCTATTCGAGGCATATTTGACAAGAGCTGGGGTTTGAAGATGAGTTCTGGATATAAACTGAACATTTTGACATTGTAATACACAGTCACCCTGTGAGAAACTCAACCAAGATGGATTAGCTAGGAGCATCTCCTGAAGGTATTGATAGAAAACATGTTCAAGTATTTAACTTTACCCATAAATTGCATCTTTGACTAGATATTCTTTCACCTCTCAGTGAAGGTCCCAGGGTTCACAACTCCAAAGGTGGTTTCCTCACGGAAGTTCCCATACAACATAGTCCAGCCATCCAGGGACTCTTCCCCAGAAGTTTGTCAGGAAGTTAGTTTAGGAGTCACATCTCTGATTGTCTCCTGATAACTCCACTGTGGGGTAATCTCTCTCCTGGGCCTTGCAATTCTTTAGTGCCCAAGAGTTAGTCTTTGATGTTCATAGCCTTTGCTTGAGGCTATTCTCAGAGTGAACCCAAGTGTTCTAGATGAGAAGGTTCACATAATAAGGCCGTCCTCTCTCTCCCACCCCCACCACTACCAATCACCTGGAGTGCTGTACCTGCCACGGCTATTCCTTTCTCCACTGCTGCAGACTCCTTGGGCTCTAGCAAAGGGGAAGAACACAGACTCTTCTTTCCAGATCCACGTACTGATCCCCACTACAACCAGTGAGGGGAACGCTGAATCTGAATAAGGTAAATTAGAAGGGTTGAAACTGAGGATGTTTGGGGAAAATGCCCAAAACCACTGGAAGAAACTTAATTGAACTTACAGATAGAAAAGAATGGAAAATTATACAAATCAGAGGGGGGGAAAGCCTGAATTCAACTCATTATTAGTCCTACTGATACGGCCTTTTCCCCACCACTCCCTTCCTCCACCCCCCGTCTTCCCAAGCATAAAACATTAAAACAGCTTGAATCCTGGTCTTCTTATCCTATTTAGGTCTTTATGGCCAGGGACAGGGCTCCACAAATGAGAATGCCTACCCCTTCTTCTGTGCCTGATGTAGGCACTTGACTCCCTCAGAGGTGCTCTTACATACATGTATCTTATTATAGTTCACACCTCTGTGAGGAAGCAATTATTAGGCCCATTTGAGGACACTGGTGCTCAGTTGTGAATCAGGTTAGAAGTTCTGTAGGGCCTGGTACACCTCTCATAGTAAATGAGGACAGAGGGCTAGTTTAAAAGGGAGACTTTTTCAAACAACTCTACACTCTATGCTATGCTAGAGTAGCTCCTAGCAGTTTTAGTCTTGGTGCTTGATTGATTAGAGCAATATTTCAAAACTGGAATTTCTTTATGATGACATTCTCCACAAGCAGCTCTGACAAACCAAGCTCATTTATAATGATGATAATTTGGGAAACGGCCCCTGAGAAGTGGGTAGTTAGAAGTGAAATTATGTTTCACATTGGCTTTGGGGCAGTGTTATAAAGAAGTCAAGGTTGGAGACGCACATTATGCAGTCAGTGTAATTGCAGCCTGAGCTGTGATTTCAGGGAACTAAAGCCTTTCTGCCCAGGAAATATCCTCCAAATAGTTACTCATGTTCTACATTCCCTTGAAAGGTGACAACCCTTTTCACTTTGCAGTCAAAAAGCTTAGGATACCATTCTCTTCTGGATACATGATGCCTGAGAGTTGATCTGGTAAAAAGAGGCTAACTAGAGTGCAACTGGCTCCTTAGGATGGGTGGAAGAGAGAAGTCAGAAGATGTTTGGAATTCTCAAAATAAACTTCAATTTTTTCTGATTTTGTGCATGGCTTACTCAGGCTGAGCATATTTTTAGTTCTTGTGAACTTTGTTATCTAATAAGAATTATCGTCTTCTAGTCTGGAAACCAAATATTGAAATTGGGCACAAGTGCCTGTACTGGCAGGGAAAGGAATTCTAAGGTGGAGCTCAACTCTCTGGGCAGTGTCTCAATAATGCTTTCCTCTCTCTTCCCTGTGGACATGCAGGTGGCCCTGGTGACGGAGATGGCATCCTCTCTAAAGGTCTGTGGCATGCTTTTGGCCCTGCTGTGCCTCCTATGCAGGCTGCTTGTGCATAGCAAGAACATTTCCTGGAGGGAATTTATGAAACAGCATCATCTAAATCCAAACAGGGAATTCAACAACTACAAATGTGATGCCCTCATGAGGGAAAAAGGTCTGGAAAACAAGAACTCTAACATATTCATCTATATCTCATGGTTCAAAATCAAGAAAATATGCATTAATAATAGGTGGAATGACCGCTACAGAAATGCATACGTATGGTTCCGATATGCTCTCAAAGTACTCAAGTGTTACTGGGAGAATTCAAAAAATAGCTACAGAGAGAGCAGGAGTTACAACTACTTTGAATTCCATTGTAACATGGATGGGTATGTTGATGGCATAGAGGACCTGAAAATGGTACAGCCTATCAACAGCTAGAAAGTCTACCCACACCCCCAGGTTTAGGTAGAATATTCACTCTTTCCCAAGTGGTGACCACTCTCTGCTCACCTGCCACTCCCTACTTTGCCTTTATGTGTAAATGTTTTCCAACTACTTAGAGTTATGTATCACATGGTTTCTTGATACCATAACTTTGCCTATGTTTTTTCTCTGCCAGGAATAACCTTCTGTCCTCATTTCCCTAATTTACTCATACATTTTTTTTCAAAATTCAGTCTATATGGCATCTCTTATTGACTAACCCAGGACTTTTCCTGACATTGACTCTCTTTATACCTACTCAAGCTTCCCTTCCCTAAATAAATTATATTATTCCAATGCAATGTTTATATAAGTGTGCAGAGTATGTGTTGCGTGATTGGTATGGGTGGTGTGTGTGTGTGATAGAGATTGTGCTTGTATGTGATTCATGCTCTGTGTAGGTTAAAGTGTATTTTATGTGTGTGTGTCTAATGTATGTGACATGTTTATGTGTATGATGGGGGTGTAAATGTTTATGTGCTAAGCTAGAGGCAAGTTGTGACCCAGGCATTTATTGTGGTGACATGCTTAGGAGAAAGACCAACAGAAGTTTATTAACATGTATCTCATGTATACTGTACAGGGAGAAACTCAGAGATGAGTAACTCAAAGAAGTTGCTAAAATTTGGGCTTAAATACCATCTTAGGCTGAAACAAAAGAAGGTGCGGGGAGGCAAGTTATAGGGAGATGACCAAGAAAAGTATGGTACACAAAGGAAAGGTTTGTTATGCAGAATTAAGTCAGTTCTTTCTCCCTTGATAAAAATGTCTTGTGATTTAGAGTCATCTTCTTCCAGGTACAGAGAAGGAGACACCCTTATAAATGGAGATTTTCTTTATAAGTGTAAATTTTCCTTACATAAGGGTAACATATTCTATTTTCAGAGCTTCTCCTATTTCTGTTTTTTCTCAAAATAAACAGTTCAAAATAATCTTGGGAATTGTGGGAAGATGGAAGACTGGAGGAACCCAAGGTGTGCTCCTCCCATAGAAAACCAGAGAACGCCCACTGCCACCACTGCCACAATTGCTGGCAACATTGTCGGGGCAAAGTACAATTACCTGCCTTCCCATAGTGAGCTTTGCCATGCTCTCCACCACTGCTGCCTGCAGTGTGGATCCTGCTGCTGCTGCTCCCAGCAGTCATCCGTGCTGCTGCTGTTGCACCAGCCAGACTGGCCATGCATGGGACCCTTTCCCAAGCTGCTGCACCAACCAGCCTGGCTGCATGCAGGAAGCCCAACCATAGCCACTAGCAGCACAGCTGCCACCACCAGCAGCTATCCATGCCACTGCTGTTGCACCAGCCAGACTGGCTGCACAGGGGACTCCAAGCCAAGGCTGAAGCAGTAGCCATCTCAACTAGGAACAGCCCCCCACCCCCCGCTGTTGCCTGAGGTGCAGCTCCTGCTACTGCTGCCCACAGGTAGCAGTCCATACCACTGCTGCATCAGTCAGACTGGCCACATGTGGGAAACCCTAGCTGCTACCACCAGCAGTTCAGCTCCCACCACTGCCACCACTGGCAGCCACTGCACCAGTCACACTGGCTACACAAAGGACTCACCACCACCACCACCACACATTGACATAAGGAGGGTCACAATCTGGGTCACTGGAAAGAGATAAGCCAGCACAGACCCATGTCCCGCTGGCCCAATCCATAGGCAGAATTACGCTGCCCCCATGATCATGCACACTTGGATGGGAGCTATGTGCACAGCACCCATGACTGCCTTGACCCAGGGAGAGACACATGCAGAGACTGTGGAGAGTACAAAAACCCAGGATAGCTAAATAGTGTACAGAAGAAAATTCCCAGCCACCCCCAACCCATGCCCCAATCAAGGGAGCAAGGACCCAGGATAAGCCTTGGCCTGTAAGAATGACAAAAGAGAAACCCTGCTCAGGGTCATCCATTCAAGCTGAGGAGACCCACTATACCCTGTGCACTCAACAGGGTCATGGAACTTTAGCAGGGGAGCCAAAAAGCCCACCCAGGGTCATTCACATAAGCCAAAGAGTGACAAGGAACCAAAGCACTTTACCCAAGAACTCAAGATCTCACCCACATTCTCAACAATCCAACACAGTGTAACTAACCACACCAAGGAACCATGAAGTGCCCCAGTGCCTAGGCCATGAAGGCACTCACATGCAGCTGACATTGAGTACAGCTGAAATATCCACATGAAAATTACACTACTGCATCTATGTGGAACCCATACTAAAATACCCTACTCACAGATCAGTATAAAACACATCTAGAGGAGGGAGTCTCTGTCCTCGAAGCCCATTCCAGAGTAAGGAAAGAAGCAACTGTGCTACCAGATAACTAAACATCAAGGTAGAGATACCAGAAATAAGAAAAAAAAAAAAAAAAGTATCACACCACCAAAGGAATACAACAATTCTCAAGTATCAGACCCCATAGAGCAAGACACCCTTGAAATGACTGAAAAGGAAGTCCAAGCAAGAATCTTAAAGAATCCCAGTGAGATACAAGAAGACTCAGTTAGATGACACAATGAAATGAGCAAAACTACCCAGAATATGAAGGAGAAAATTTACAAAAAGAATGTAGCAGAACTCCTGGAACTGAAGAATTAATTCAACAAAATCAAAAAACAAAACCAAGAGGTTAAGCAGCAGGCTAGAGCAAGCAAAAGAAAGAATTTCTGATCTTGAAGACCATCTTTTTGAGAAATAACCCAGGCAGACAAAAAAGAAAAAAAAAAAAAGAAAGAAAAGAAAAAGAAAGAAAGAAAGAAAAAAATGATCTTGAAGACCATCTTTTTGAGAAATAACCCAGGCAGACAAAAAAGAAAAAAAAAAAAAAAAGAAAGAAAAGAAAAAGAAAGAAAGAAAGAAAAAAAATTTTTTTTAAAAATGAAGAAAGTCTGTGAGAGCTATCAGACAACATTAAGCACACTAACACCAAACTATGGGTATTCCAAAAGGGCAGGAGAAAGGAAAGGGTATTGAAAACATATTCAAAGAAATAATAGCAGAAAAATTCCCAGGTATTGGGAGAGACATGGACCTTCACATCCAGGAGGCTCGGAGATCCCCAGACAGATTCAATCCCAAAAGGTCCTCTCTGAGACACATTATAGTCAAATTGACAAAACTCAAAGACAAAGAAAGAATCCTAAAGCAGCAAGAGAAAAAAAATCAAGTCACCTATAAGGGAGTCCCCATTAGACTAATAGCAGACTTCTCAGCAGAAATTCTACAAGACAGAAGAGAATGGATAATATATTCAAAATACAAAAGAAAAAAACTACCAGCCAAGAATACTGTACCCAGCAAGGTTATCCTTCAGAAATGAAGGACAAATAGTATATTTCTCAGACAAATAAAAACTGTGAGAATTCACCAACACATCACCAGCCCTGCAAGAAATCTTCAAGTAGGTCCTACATCTGGAATCCAGAAAGTGGCAATCACTACCATGAATGCACAAGAAAGAACAAAAACCACTGGAAGAACAAAAATGCAAACAAGAAAAAGAGATAAACTATATATTACTACCTCAAAAAACTAACAAACACCAAACAATAAATACATCCAAACAAAAATCAATAAAATGCCAGGAGTAAGACAACACCTCTCAATAACAATTCTAAATGTAAGTGGATAAATTTCCCACCCAAAAGACACACACTGGCTGATTGAGTTAAAAAGCTAGACCTGACTGTATGTTATCTTCAAGAGACTCATCTCACCAGTAAAGATATACATAGGCTAATAGTGAAGGGATGCAAAAAGACATACCACATAAATGGAAACCAAAAACGTGCAGGAGTAGCTGTTCTTATATTGGATAAAATAGACTTCAAACCACAAACCATAAAAAGAGAAGAAGAAGGCAATTATGTAATGATAAAGGGATGTATCCAGCAAGAAGGCATAACAATCATAAATATATATGCACTAGAACACCCAGATATATAAAGCAAACACTATTAGAGCTAAAGAAAGAGATAGGTTCCCAGTACAATAATAATTGGAAACCTGAACACCTTTCACTCAGCATTGGACAGATCATCTAGGCAACAAATCAACAGAGAAACACAGGATTTAAACTAAACTTTAGACAAATTGGACTTAGCAGATATCTACAGAACATTTTATACAGCTACAGAATATACATTCTTCTCATCAGCACATGGAACATTCTTCAGGATAGACCACATCTTTAATCAGAAATCAATTTCCAACAAATTTTTAAAAAGCTGAAATCATTTCAAGTGTCTTTTCAGACCATGATGGATTACAACTAGAAATCAATAACAAGCAAAACTCTGGAAACCATACAAATACATGGAAATTAAACAACATGCTCCTGAATGACCTGTGTCTAAGAAGGAATTAAACAGGAAATCATAAAATTTCTTGAAACTTATGAAAATAAAGACACATCATATCAAAACCTGTGGTACCGAAAAAGCAGCACTAAGAGGGAAGTTTATTGCAATAAATGCTTACGTCAAAAGAATACAAAGATTTCAAATTACACCTCAAAAAACTAGAAAAACAGAGCAATACAATCCCAAAATTAGTAGTCAGAAAGAAATAATTAAGATCAGAGAACTAAATGAAATAGAGACCAAAAAAATGATACAAAAGATCAATGAAACAAAAAGCTAGTGTTTTGAGAAGATAAGCAAAATAGACAAATGATTAGCTCGACTAACTAAAAAAACTCGAGAAGACCCAAACAACAAAAATCAGAAATGAAAAAGGAGACATTACATATGGCACAAACACAAAGGATCATTAAAGACTATTATAAACAACTGTACAACAACAAATTTGAAAACCTGGAGGAAATGGATAAATTTTTGGATATATACAAACTACCAACACCGAATCAGGAAGAAATAGAAAACAAGAATAGACAGTAACAAGCAATGAGATTGAAGCAGTAATCAGCACTTTCCCAACAAAGA